CGCTAGGTGGTACCGATAACCGCCAAAAAATAAACACAGCGCGAGCACGGGGGAGAGGAGCGTGAGTTCACCGCTCCCGCCGCTTTCCAGTGCACCTCAGGGCCCTCCGGGTGTAATTTGAACCCAGCCCTTCAGCCTGCACCCCACTGAAGACTAAACTTGGCTTCTTGCCTTTGCTGGAGCTGAACAATTACACAATTCCCCCCTGTAAATATGGGGGACTACAATGTATGAAAAGAAGTTGTAGTGAGGCAGGGGTATATCCTCCAAAATAACTATCCGTGGGACAAGAGGAAAGGGCCTCAAGTTGCACCAACAGCAGGCTGTTGGCACAGGTGAAGGGTTTACAGTTGAACTCAATGATCTTAAAGGTCTTTTCCAACCATAACGATTCTATGATTCAAAAACAGCCAGTTCTCAGCTGAGCACCAGGGCTTCTTTTGAGGTAGGTAAAGAAAGAAGGCTGAACTCAGCCCGGGAGAGTCAAACTCCAAATGTGAGACTCAAGATTTCAAACTCCACATGTGACTGAAAAGTTCAGTTCACACAAAAAACTTTTTTTGGGGGGGCGGGGTGGTTTCACTGTTTCAAGATGATAAAGATCACAAAAAGGTTAACGCAGTCTGAATTATGAAGTACGAGGAACACTACAGTACGAGCTGGCCGTCATTTACATAAGAAATGGGGACTTTAAAAGAACCATCTTAACATTAGCTACTCTAGCCTGCTCTGCAGAACTTTCACCTTACACAGTATATTCCTCTGCACGACACCCCTCTCCAGTTTATTTAATGCCTGGTAGCAGCCCAGACCAGTGCACAAGTTACAGGCATCGCTCCAGACTCTTTGAACATCTGTGAAAAGGCCACCAACTGCACAATCCTTTCTGAGGAACAAAGTAGGTGGGTTCACACTGACTGTAGCATTGCATAGCCTGGAAGCATTGCAGGCAAACAAGCTCACAGCACAGCTCTTTGGCCAAACAGGGCAAAATATTGCTTGAGCACAGACAATGAAGAAGAGGCATCTTAGCGCCTGCAGCTGTCACTACAGGGCAACTTCACTCCTCGGCCTAAGAGGTATAAACATTTAGAAAAGATTTGCCGGAGATCTCCAAAGACGACTTGGGGGAATTAACTCTTCATATGGCAAGTAGATTAAACACAGAGCTTGGCTGTATTCCAGGCATCCAGCTAATGAGTGCATTTTGCTAGACTGAAGAGTTCAGGTTAAAATGAACACAAAAACAAATATTATAAAGAAATAATTCATCATATTGCAGCAATTGATGACTTCTAGCATTAAATCAGCTATATGGAATCTTGACGCAGCAATTACTCAAATAAATTCAGTATGTTGTCTGAGTGACCACTGCTCAGACTATGACAACAGTTCTATCGTAAGTAATCTGTTCATAATTTTAGAATCAAAAATAAGACACATTTCTGTCCATTTAAAAATATTTTATTATAAGATGCCATGCTCCAACTTGTGCCAGTTCTGGACCTTCAGTGTGCCTGTACACACACCTAAACAGATGAATGTTGTTCTGGTGCAAGTTTTGCAGACAGTCTCTGTGCTATCTTTATTGATAAATTCTTCGTGGCTCCTGCAGAACAACACCCCCCTCCTTCATAGCTTTTTCAAATTCCTGAATCTATTTTAAAAGATTTAAAAAAGAGAGAGAGAAGAGAAAAATGAATAAATATGATTTTTTTTCCCATCCCACACAAGAAGAAAAAACACTCAGCACCGAAATGTTATGCAGAGAGGCAGAGGTTAACTGCCTCACTGAAACAGAAGAGGAACTGCAGCTTGTCAGAGTTATCCTTTTGAACGTAGCAAGGAGGGATTTGTCAAGCCACATAACACTGATGTTCAAGAAGAATAAAATAAACATTTAGAAAAAAAAAGAGCAAAACTTTTTGAGGAGTTTTGAGGAGATAAGACACTTGCCGAGTCACAGCGACGCTCCCAGGGGATGATGGCTTTGAAGTTCACAAAGTTGATTCCTGCTTCCAAGCAGCGCTGTGCCATGACGTAGCCGAGGTTTCTGCACGCCGTCACTCCTCTAGGGCTGTACAGGTGCCTCTTTATGGCCCACTCTCGGGTAGAGGCAGACACTACCACATCCCCGTTGCAGCGCTCAACAAAGGCTTCTACGTAATGCTGTGTCCGCTCAAACCGCAGCCTGGATAAAGGAAAAAGTACCGTGGAACGTGAAGTATTTTCCACATTTGAAGAGATGTGGAAAACTATTCAGTGCTTAAGTACGCTTTATATGCAACTCACTGGTGAAAAGAGAACTGTAATAATAATAGCGATTTTTTTTTCTATTGATTCTAGTACTGAGGATATTTTTTCCTTTTATTAGAACATAAAAGAGAACTTGAAGCAATTTCTGATGTGAACTTTTGACTCAGGCTCTGGTGCACTCTTAGTGCAGGCTGAACAGCTCCTGAGAACACAGTGGAGAGCCGGCAGGCAAGTAACCAGAGTTTTGACTAAACCTTTTGAAACTTTCAAAGCTTTTAAATTACGGCTGCTGAAAAAGGTGACACATTTTAATTCAGTGCTACCACATTAAGAAAAAGTGACATTTCTCTTCTGCCTTGTAAGGAGAAGCAAGTGCTTAAGCAGTACTGCTATGCCCTAACATTTGACCACAGGCTATCACTAGTAAATATATGATATTGCTCTTCAAGAAAAAAAAAGAAAAAAAAACAGCTTTTCAGATAAAAACTGAATAGGATTCTCCCCTTAAGAAAAATAATGATAATAACTGGCCAACTTAAAAAGAACTTATTTTCCAGAGAATAAGTGATTATTTTCTAAAAAGATGGCTATTTTGGGGCGCCAAGTAAAACAATAATAAACGGTCAGAACAGGTGTAGAACTAGGTAACTTGTAAGTTAAACGGCAGTTTTGTGATGACTGCTACCTTATGAGTAGTTAAAAAGATTGGGAACACACGCATAAACATCCACGTGATGATAGAGAACTGTTCTCTGAACACACACACAAAAAAAAGATCGACGTTAATTCTTTCCAGGTCTTCATCTCTGGGAGTGGCTTTCTGCCTCACCTGTGCCAGAACTCTCGCTTGGGCCATGTCGTCTTCCAGCCGCGCTCCTTCCTAGCCAGGGCCATTTGCTCCAGGTTCCGAGGGTTCCTGTTAGCAAAGTCCGGGGCAACAATCTCATTTTCCCTTGTGTCCACCTCGCTCTCGGTTTCGAGGCCAGCTGCCATAGAGGCAAAACGAGGAGCTGGAGAGAAAGCAGAAAACATTCTGACACACAGTACATGCAGCCGTATGAATACCATAGAGTACAATGCTAACTTTGTTTTTGTAAGCACCAAATAGATCACTACCAGAGCTCAACCCCTTTTCCCATTTCATGGGTGGACTGTGAGCTAAAAATGAAGTGTATGTGACATTTAACTGTGCTCCCGAACCCCCACATGCAATGTCAGTCACAGCGAGGAGATCCCCAGGCTGAACACTGTATGAAGTACCGAAAGAGACGGAGCCCGCACCGCGGCGGGGCGGCCTCTGCGGGGCACCCACCTGCGGCGCGGGGCTGCGGCCACCCGGCCGCAGCGCGCAGCAGGCGGCA